GGATAAACGCACGTAAAACAAGGTTTTTTAAGCAACAGATGAAGAGCGAATTTGTGGTACTTCATCAGAGTCTTGAATGCGGGTCTCGGATAGACAACAAACGTCGATATTAAGGCTTTCTAAAGACATAACCAGCTCTATCTGTTGTCTGATCTGCATTAGTATGCGAACTTTGAGGGCAGCCGGTTTAAATCGTGCACGCGGTTTCAGTATTTGTAATCGGTGGTAGCATTCACTTTCTGACCAGTCAGTGATTCGAGATCGTTTTGATAGAACAGAGTTTCCACCATGGGCGAGCTGCTGTATAGGTTGAAAAATAGAAATACACAAAGTGGGAATAAAAAAGTGAATAACTGACGTGGTAATAATAATAATAGCAATAATAATAATGTGAATTGTTTGACTGTTAATCGAAGAGTGAATTGAATTTTCATTTTATTTGTGTGTGGACTGTGATACTGCCCGGTTGCCCAAGCCGAAGCAGGTGGTTTTCTTAGGGTGCCACATCCAGAGCCTTTAAAATAAAGATCTGGTCCACATGGTAGTGGAGCAACTTTAGGAGATGCAGTTCCATGGTAGCCGGTGACCAACAATAGGTTCATGAGCCTTTTTTCCTTCAGAATATTAGAGCCCATGTGGGCCATTGGTTTGGAATCAGGGTTTTCCAACTCCCCTAGGTGAACTCTCCGTGTCCACTGACCTGGTTAAAGCGCCGAACACTCGCTTTTCGTCCTCTCAATTTCGTAAACAACATCCTCGCCGCGAGAAGGCAGTGAGTAGGACTTCCCTGGCAGAGTCTATACACGTAGCTTTGTGTGAGCATTTCGTAAGTGAGGGCCGACCCTTTCCACTCTCGGCTGTACCAGGGCATTCGGGGGCCTGGACCTGTGCTGTGAATGCCGATGCTGGGATTGGTTGTAAAATGCGGAGAGGTGGTTAGTGTATGACATTGTGTCGTGGTATGAAGGAAAGCTGTACAGGACCGGGTTCTGTTGACCCTTCATGACGTCCTGTTTGGGGTTCCAGAGATGGTGTAAGACAATTGCTTGAGACGTTATCAGATATGGCTCAGAATAGAAGCCATTGGCGATCCTGCTGTAACTTTCTTTTACTTCATGAAAAATGAACTTTACTTTTCAATTGATAGGATTTTTCCCGGTTGTATTTCATCTAACTGAACTACTTTCCCAATAATAATAGTTATTATTATTACCTCACTCATGTACTAATTCATGTTCATTGTTCTTTTATTATACGCACGTTACATTATCTCTTCACAACCTCATTGTAATTGTGTGGCGCATATGTATTTGTTGCCCCCTTGTACCAATGTTGTGTTCGGATAAATAAATATATTCATACGTATCCGATAACGTCTCAAGACAGTGTGTTGCACCATCTGTAAGACCAAAATCAGGAAGTCATGAAGGACCAACAGATGCCAGTCATGTACAGCTTTATTTCTCACCAGTCCTAGCATTGACAAACAATGCAGGATGTGGAATTCACTGGAACGACATAGTGCATGTTCGAGGCATCGAAGTCGGCGTTTCAAGATGATGACACTGATTGAATTGTCGTAACCGTATAAAAACGCACGTTACTGAACCCCGGCATTACTAACATGTTGCTACCCTTGAATGTCAGAAGGCCAACAATCAAACACAGAGTCGTCTAACATCCTTAATCAGGGAAGACCAGGTTTCACAAACATAGAGCAAAACTGGTCTAACTGACGCGTTATAGATCCGATCTTTTACAGCCAGACTAGCAATATGAAGGCTCCAAACATGGCTCAGATTCGGGTAAACTGCTGTTTTTTACTATACGCGAATTGGTCTCATCACTCACACTACCAACTTTGCTATGCTGCCTTCTCACAAGGAAGGATGGGGTTAGAAAAGATTGACCTTAAGAATGCACACCTCGCCTTATCCCATGGATTCCGTCTCCGGCGGTGAGTTCCCAACAAGCACGGAGCTAACAAAAAAATTACCCACAAGAAGGTCGTGTGTGACCGACCTCAAGCATTTGTCCCTTGGGTACTGCGGTCATGTCCTCAGGTTACTAAGACCATCTCTTGCCTTTTCAGGTACCTCCAGAACAACCCTTCCACGCTGTGAGCAATCGGGAAGTAAAAGCCGCTTTCATACTTCTAATAGTACTCAAGGTCACTGTATTCATAATCAATCTCCCTCTTCAATTCCTATTATTCTTCCGCCCTCGACTTTCAACCCTAAAATTCCTCTTTTGGCTTCCTCCTTAAGTGTCACCCTGGTCAACGATTCTAGTGCGCAAAACACTGTTCCAGGTCTACTGAAACCTCGCTCCAAACTGCACATTGGAGACTTCAACGTAAGCACCTTATGTCAAATCGGCCAGCAGACCTTGATTAAGACCCTAGAATATCGTACCATTGATGCACCCCCCCCTCGATTGCGTCTAAATTATTGGCTTCCGTCATAATTCGTAGGTTGTTCAAAACCCGAGAAAGATTGACTCGTGAGGAGCGGGCTGGTTTTCGTTCTGGTCGAGGATGTATTGATCATATCTTCACCCTCCGCCAAATGTTAGAACACCGTCATACTTATCACAGGCCAACAATCGTAGTGTTTCTTGACAGCAGGGCTGCCTTCGATTCGTTGAACAGGACCGTTCTCTGGGATTGTCTATTGAAGAAGGGTGTGCCTGAGGAGTTTATTAACATTCTAAAAGCCCTATATACAAACACCTCAGGTAGAGTGAGGGCATACAATCACCTTTCTCCATTGTTCCATCCAAGCACTGGGGTTAGACAGGGTTACCAAATCTCACCATTCCTCTTCAACTTTGCCATCGATGACATTCTGGAAACAGCCCTGATGAATGTAAGTAATGGCGGTGTGGATCTGTAGCCTGGAGAAAGACTTCTCGACCTTGAGTATGCAGATGATATTGTCTTACTGTGCGAGGATGCCCAAGCCATGCAATCCGCACTTCAGTCAGTCAGTCAGCTACAACGTAGGACCAGGCACATATATGCATCGGTACAAGTTGGTGAATACCTCGCCTTCCTTGCTTTTCACTGGTCGTTCTGGTTTGCGACGATTTCCAGAGAGTTTCTTTGTTATGTCTTACAGTTGTCTCATGTTCCCTTCTCTTGAAGCCTTTTCCGCCGTCGTTGCTAAATCTTCCACATATTTACGTTTGTCGATTCTGATACTCCTCTTCACTTGTTTGTTTACTTCTGTGTATTCAGCTTGTGCTTTGGCTTTTTCTGCTCTTGTTCGACTGGTATTGATTGCTGCCTTCTTGTTCCTTCTTTCTTGAATCTTATCCAGTGTATCAACAGTGATCCATTCCTTGTGATGATGCTTCTTGTGACCCAGGACCTCATGACATGTTGAAGTGATTGCCTCTTTGATCCCCTTCCAGTTGCTCTCCACAGTAGTTCCTTCTCCATTGAGTAGATCATGAAAGGCCTGGAACCTGTTGCTGAAGAGCATACTAAGAACCAACTGTTTATTTACTACATGAATCATTGTGATTATTGACTCATATTGCCTTGATTGGTTTAACATTTTCGTATAAATATTCATGTATATTAGAGTAAAGCCTGATGACGATCTAATTGAAAACAATTGTTCGCTTATATGTGTTGTTCCAAAATATTAGTGTCAGTAATCATCAGACAGGTCTCAGACCTTGACGTGGATGCGTAGACCAAGTATTCACTCTTCATCAAGTACTGGAGTATAAACATTCCTATCAACTACCATACATAGTTCTATTTCTTGACCCTAAGGTAGAATTTGGGTCAGTTGATTGACAGGATTTATGGCAGTTTTTGTCATTGAAATGCATACCGAAAAAGTACATCGATTTTGTACAGGCCATTTGCATGAAAACTACTGGTTGACTTGGAGTTTATGAATAACTATCATCGGAATTGACAACAGTAAGTGGTGTTCATTAGAGTCATCCGCTATCCCCATTTATATTTAACACTGTCATAGACATTTCTTGGAGATGAAGTTGTTTGACTTTTCAGGAGCCAATATATCAAGAGATTCACTTACTTAGAATACACAGATAGGACAGTTCTATTTAGTGAAGATAAAGACAAAATGCAATCTGCTGTTCACCCCGCACAACAAAACAAAAAGATTTGGGATATGACTAAATTCGGAATGTTACTTCAGGACTGGTTTAAGTCAATACATAAACTAATAATAGGAAGTGAAGTAGCTGAGTGTGTTGATCACTTCACTTATTTCAGAAGTTTTATCAGCTCTGGAGCGTTGGTGTCGGACGACATCTCGGTTAATCTCATCACTCATGGCATAGGCGAGATGTTCGTCTGTCAACTTGAGGTCGAGCATACTCCTCAGAAGTTCGTACAGTTTTGTTTTACGGCTGTGAAACGTGACCTCTAAAGATAGAGGATATTCTTAAATTACTAGTATTCAATCATAAGTGTTTTTGAAGCAATATTTGTATATTTTAGAACCATCGAGGTTGGACGAAGAGTACCTAGTAAGGATGACAAACTGACTGACGAGGTGAGGAATATATCGACTGAGATGGTTAATACATGTATTAAGTATGGGTCAGAATCGTTCACATTGACCTAGATGCATTCACTCATCTTCCTCTGGACCTTGAATTCCAAAATTCCTTTGTACACTCCTTTCCAATCAGTATTTTCGAACCACATTCTGGATGTTCAGTCTTCCTTACTATGATTGCTACTACATTACTTCAACTGGTTTGCTAATTATAGCGCTAATATTATCTCGTGTTAGTGTGGCGGTATGCTGGGCTGACATGTATGCTCCACGTTGACGATGACTGACTGAGTGACCAACTTAAAGTCTTGTAACTTACAGCTCCGATTCAAACCATATACTATACTACTAATAGACATTGTATCCATTCCGTAGTCTCAATATGCAGAAACTCCAATGATAGTTAGTCGATATTATTTAACTGTGTTGAAAACAGATACGATAATCTCTGATGACTGGAAAACAAATACTCACTTCATTTGTAATATTGGCAAACACGTTTAATTCAAAGTACACACATTAATTAAAACACAATAAAACTGTTTGCAAAAAGTACTTTGATATAATATAATAGCATTCCATAACAGGCATTTATAAATATTAAGGTCAGTTTGATTTTCTTTTTTGGAAAAAAACAAAATCAGATGAGTGAAAAATTTTGTCAATAAAAGTTAATGTAAAAGGTAACAGAAAAGTAATATGGATTCTTTATAATATTTGGCAGCCATTTCTATCTGATTTCTTCAGACTCCAACGCAACCAACTCAGACCACTTTCAGTATACGGATAATAACGGATTCTGAAAAACAATTGTATACTTGATTTGTAAGTGTTTGTATCTTTCCGTTTATATTAAGGATTGTAATTATATTAATATAGATATTCAAAGTAGCTGAAACATGATAGTACTATTCAAGTACCCATCATTTACAGAGGTTTAAACTCTTTAAAAACCATCAGAGTGACATTTATTTATCAAATTCCAATAATCAGATAACAGGTTCACATTCAGTTGTCCTTACAGTAGAACGGTGGCTTAGGGCCTAAGGCGTTCAACGTTTAGTCAAAGTCCCGGGTTCACCCACTCCGATTTAGGTAAACAGTATAATTAGACCTTACGATTAGTGTGGATCATACCTACCTTACAACGATTTGATCACTGTGATAGGATTCTACTTTAGTAAATGTGACCTAAAGCATTGTTCCTGATTTTTATTTAAATACATAAACATTGATATAGGGAAGCACCAAATATACATGAGCCACACTTCGTTATTCGATTTGTGTGAGGGCTAGAATACTGCTCAGACGCTCACACCGAAGCAGACTCTTGTTACCGGTGTTTTTCTGAATACAAAATGAACATTGTGGCTAAATAAATTCTCAAAATAAATACAATATGAAGTTAAATACGTAACTGCAACTCACAGGCCATGCGAAGGCTTCTGTTTTTGGTGGAGTTTTGTTCTCTGAGTTGGATGGTTTGGTCGTGGAGCTTTCATCATTCTTCTGAACGACATCATCAGCACAAACTTCAAATAGAAGTGAAGTGTTCGAATTTCTCCATATGTGTTTCACAGCTTGTTCTGTGCACCTCGATGTTGATTGGTTCTTATTGACCTTAAATTTGTCATTGTTTACTTCGTTGGTTTGGTTGTGTCTCCCATTGGTTTGATTTTTGTTCCTATATTTGTGCATGATTTTCCTGATTGGTTGGTGAATTGGATTGATTTCAATATTCTTGTTGATTGCTGATTGATCTGAGTGCCAGGCTTCTAAAAATTATCTGGTGTTTTTGGAGTTTCCTCCGTCTGAGATTTCCACATTTTTCCAATCGAATGAGTGTCCGCAGGTCAATAAGAACCAATCAACATCGAGGTGCAAAGAACAAGCTGTGAAACACATATGGAGAAATTCGTACACTTCACTTCTATCTGAAGTTTGTGTTGATGATGTCGTTCAGAAGAACGATGAAAGCTCCACGACCAAACCATCCAGCTCAGAGAACAAAACTTCACCAAAATCATCCACCTGAGCTACAAATCTTCTCCACCATCTCGAAGCTTCTGTAGATAGTAAGTTTCTTGGTATAGAGCATTTAATCATGAACCTTTCATCCTCTTTATTAACATCACTAGTAGTATAAATAGTGACTCGCATATTGGCCTCTGAGTAAATCGAAGTTAATGAACCATGGTTCAAGCTTGTGATTTGATGATTGCAGTTAGAACAGATCACTTGAATAATCAAGTATTAACAGTTTTATTACACAAATTTGTATTCATGATACAAATGAATGATTATTAGAGGTGATGTAAGCGTAGATTCTATTGTAGTTTGGATGCATGTGTAAAAGAACCTGAGAATCATAAACTTAGCTAAGATATTCCTTTTAATAATTGATCACAATTTGGGAACAGGACTGGTTTTGTTAGTTTACTATGAATCCGATGTAATATTTCTTTACCGCTAGAAAATGGGATGAGAGATTAATTTAACCATTTCGATTACACTTCACATAAAATTAATATCACCCACAATATTTACATCGAGTGATACCTTATGACAAAATTACTTCAAACCATGGTGTAACTTATGAGAACAAAAGTAATATTTCTATAAAAATAAACGGCACAACTTACTTATTATTTATGTATTCGACTTCTGACTTGAGAATAACTGGGCGACGATGGGAAAAGGTTTCAATCGAATAACGACCATGATAGTTCCCTATTCCGGAGTGACCAATACCACCGAAAGGAATATTTGGTACTAAAAGAGAAAATTAGTCAAATAAATACTAACTAATGATATATTTTTAATCAAAAAAGGTATCTTATGAAACAAAATATAAGCTAATGATTGCTTTTGCACATGCCTGATATCATTCACGTGTAGGAGCACAGGTCGCCCACCACGATTCTCCATTCAACTCTGTCCTGAGCAATCCTTTCCACTTGCTATTCATTCCTTTGATGTTTGCTTCCAATCCCTGACGCAATGCATTCCTTGGTCTTCCTCTTTTTTCACTTTAGGATCCCAAGATAGGGCTTGCCTCATGATGTAGTTTGTTGATTTTCGAAGAAGGTTCCCCTATCCACATTGTCAAACACCTTCTCATAGTCAGGGAAGTTCACGTATAGTGACGAGTTCCATTCAATTAATTGTTCAACGGTGATCCGTAGTAAGGCGATTTGGTCTGCGCACGACTGATGCTCATGGAATCCAACCTGTTGAACTCGAAGTTGAGCATCTACTGAATCTTTCATCCGGTTCAGCAACACTGTTGAAAACTTTTCCTGATATCTATAGTAGTGTAATTCTTCTGTAGTTATCACACTTGCTCAGATCTTTCTTTGATATCTTAATGAGGTATCCTCCTTCCTAGTCTGTTGGCAATCGCTCTTCCACCTACATCTTTCTGAAAAGAATGTGGAGCAGCTTCACAGTTACCTCTATATCTGATTTCAGTGCTTGAACTGGTATGTTGCATGATCCTGCTGCTTTCCCACTCTTGATTTGTCCGATGCCCATGTTGACTTCGATTGTTGGTGGGATGACATTTATAGGAAGATCTGTGTGTGCTGCTACGATATCCGGTAAGTTCAGTGGGGTTGATCTATTCAGTTCTTCAAAGTGCTCTGCCCACATTTTCCTCTGTCCTTGAACCTCAATGATTGGCTTGCCTCCCTTATTCTCCACTGGTAGCTCTGGCTTATTATATTTCCCCTTCAGTTTCTTCGTTGTATCATATAGTTGTCCGACATTTCCTTCTTCTTCAGCTTTTCCGCTGTCATTGTAGGGTCTTCCACGTAGTTTTGTCTATCAGCTCCAATACTCTTCTTCACCCGCTTGTTTGCCTCTGTGAATTCGGTTTGTGCTTGGCTTTCTCTGCTCTTATTCAGCTGTTGTTCATTGCTGTCTTTTTGTTCTTCCTTTCTCGAATCTCGTTCATGGCATCAATAGAGATCCATTACTAATGACCAGGTTTATTGTGGCCCAGCACTTCCAGTCATGTTCAAGTTACAGCTTCCTTAATCCCTTTTTCAGCTGCTCTTCATGGCAGTTTCCTCTTTTTTAAGTAGACCTTGCAAGGCTTGAGACCTGTTGCCAAGGGCCATCTTGAATTCACTGAGTTTGTCAGTATCTCAAAGAAAGGCTGTATTAAACCTTTGTAATGTTGTTTTTTTAGTCGCCCAGTGCTTCTTTAGCTTGAGTTTCATCTTGACCATAACGAGGTGGTGATATGAAGCTAAATCAACTCCTGTTGGGATATTCAGAAAAATATCCGGTTAAGTTTAATGCTACCCTTGAACGTTAAACGGTGTCATTTTCCTATTGGTCGTTTCCCAATATTTATTCACATGTCATTTTTCTGTTAGTCAATATTTGTAGTAATCCTAACTGTATGAATATGCATTTGTTTGTAAATCATTATTCTGTTCCTGACCCCATAAACAATTTTTCATCTACGGTTCGTGTTCTGATATATTGGAGATTGGGTAACAGTATTGGGGTCGTACTGGGATATCTGAAGCTGGTCAATCGGTAGAATTTAGAGTAGCCACCTCGCGATTCACAATAACTCCTCTCTTTGTTCTGATGTCTTCCACTGACCTGAACATTTTAGTGATGCAAATATGATCGATTTGGTTCTCTGTAGTGTGATTTGGTGAGACCTATGTAGACTTGTGCATGTGTTTGTGGGGGGATATCGTACCACCTATAACCATTTTGTTGAAGGTACATGAACTTGCAAATCAAACAATTTTTGTCCCTTTCTCCCAGTCCATGTCGTCACATGATATCTTCATACCCGGTGTTGTCCATTCCAAACTCAATGTTTAGGTCTCTCGTCAGGTTTTTTCCTGGGTACTTCTATACGATCGACTACAGCCTCTTCTAAAATTGACCTAATTGGTTCTCGTCGCTTTCATTGGTGTGTACATAGCACTGAACAACAATTAATTGCCATGCCCTCATTCTTTGTTTTGAAGAATGCCTCATTATTCAGGATTCAAGAGACTCCTATCATGTAAATAGCTTCCATGCTTCTTAGAACAGCATCAGTGCAACTCCCTGTGTGTACGAAGCATTTCTTTCTTCATGACCAGTCAGTCAGTAACAACATAGAACTTCGTTCCTACGTACATCAGTTCGAGTTGCCACACCACATTAGCACAGAGATGCAGTGGTCAATTCAAATCCCGTAGTGGTAGAGGTAATGAGAGTATAAGCAGTAATCGGAAACATTAGTGTTTGGAGATGTTACTTAAAGAGTATAATACAGTGAAATAAATTTGGGAAGAAAAAAAGACAAGGAGGAATAAGGAGATCAAAATTTGGGAGAACACAAAGAGTGGATGCACCTGCGCCATTGCAAACGATTTTGAGCCATGTCATTCAGGGTCTCTAACCATCGGTTGCTATCGTCTCGCTGATACCAACCAGGTAGTCTACACCTAGCAACATGACTCAGTTCACTTGTTAGTGACTTCATAGACTTGTGTCATGTTTTGGTCTGGCCGCCCCTAGCTTTCTTCTAACTTAATCCTATACCACTAAACATCGCACGTCGAGGCAGTCGGTGTTAGGGCATACGTAACACGTGTCCCAGCCATCTCAACTGATGAAGTCTCACCACTTCATCAATTGATTTGCCATCCTTACCTAGTACCCGTTTTCTTAACAACTGCGTTACTTACTCGATGGTCTCAGGATATACGAGCAACATTTCGAAGACACCTATGGTCAAATACTAGTAACCTACGGATATCCTCTACTCTTACCGGCCATGTTTCACTGCCATAAAGTAGAACAGAAGGAACTGCTGCGCAGTAAACCCGTCCTTTGGTTGGTAGACGGATATCTCGACTACTCCATAAATGACGTAAGTTGGTAAAAGCTAGTCGAGCCTCCTGTATCCGTGCTGAGATTTCGTCACACACCAGACCACAAGGGCTGATGAGACTTCCAAGATAAGTGAAGCGATCGACACGCTTAATTACTTCACTCCCTATCATTAGTTCGGGTGTCAATCCAACCCAATTCTGAATATTTTGCATTTCGAGGGAGAGAATCGCATGCGGAACATGCTTGCATTGTTACTTATAGTGGTCAGAAGACTCTGCATTTTGTCAGAATCTTCACCAAATAGAACTATGTCATCAGCGTATTCTAAGTCAACAAGTGAGTCTCCCGGTAGAAGTTCAACCCCTGGAAATTTAGATGAGGAAAGTGCTATCTCTAAAAGCACGTCAACTAAGAAGTTGAACAAGAATGGAGAGAATGGACAGCCCTGACGAACACCACTTGAGGTAATCAATTCTGATGACAGTTCGCCATAAGCTCTCACTCGACCAGTTTTGTCTGAGTAGAGAGCCTGTATAAGGTTAATGTACTTCTTTGGTACTCCTCTCAGTGACAAACACTACCATAAAACCTTACGATCAACAGAGTCGAATGCCGCCTTAAGGTCGAGAAATACTACGATTGTGGGGCATCTGAATGTGTTTCTGTGTTCTAGAACCTGACGTAGTGTAAATATCTTATCTATACAACCACGTCCAGGTCGAAAACCAGCCTAATTGTTTCTAGTCTGCTCTTCACGAGCTTTAGTTAGGCGTCGAAGTATTATTGAAGCTAATATTTTGGACACTATATTAGTCAAACTGATTCCTCTGTGATTGTCACATGAGGACTTCTGAGCTTTCTTAAAAACTGGCACAATCAGTGATTGAGACCAGTCAGATCGGATTGCGTCCAGTTCCCAAATTCTACCTAAGACCTCAGTTAATCTCACTGATAATACTGAACCACCATCCTTAAAAATCTCTGGAGTAAACCTGTCAGGGCTTGCTGCTCTCCCTCGCTTCAGATTGCCTATAGCTTTTTCAACTTCGTAAAGAGACGGAGGACCTACATTAACTTGCCATTCAGGTCGACTGGAGATCGTGGGAAACCGAAGTGTGGCTGAAGGCCAGTTGAACTGATCCATCGATCCAATCTCCTGGATTGAGAGTGTATAATATGTCCATCTTTCTCTGAGAGTGTTTCGCTAACAGTCGGTTTCCTTAACGAGTCTGAACAATTGTCTTCTATTACCTATTGCCGCTGTCTTTTCCATCTCTCTTGCTTTCGCTACCCACCACTGTTCACGATTATTGCGTAGACTTCTTGTCAGCTTGCGCTTAAGCTGAATCCGCTCTTCATTACGTTCAGAGCCAGGTGGAATGAGTTTCCGAGCATCTATCAGTGCGATAGATGCTGCTGAGATCCAGTGTCGCTCCCTAACCGTAGGGTTACCGTACTAGCAGATATCACTGCTGTTTCCACAGCTTTTCGGATATCATTCCATGCTGCCTCGGGGTGGGCATCACATACATGGCTGCCTAACTGTTTTCCTAGTTGTTCCTGAAATATACTCTTAGCTTGACTATCATCAAGTAAGGCCTTAAGAGGTTTCCTTGCAGCGTCTTCCCTACGTCCAGTAAGACGCAGACAAATACGCGCTCGTACTAGAGCATGATCTGAATCTAAGCATGTGCTCCGGAATGAACGACAGTCTTCTATCGAGCCCCTCTATCGGTGACTGACAGCGATGTGGTCTATTTGGGTCCAACGTTGGGACGAATTAGGGGGTCTCCATGTTAAAAGATGTATTTCCTTATGCTTAAAGTTAGTATTTGCAAGGAACAGGCGATTATCTGAGCATAGCTGCAACAGACGGTCGCCATTATCTGTTTTTTGAGCCACGACACCATAAGATCCACCTAGGTGTCTTTCCCTATCGCTTAGTTTATCTACTTGAGCATTAAAGTCACCGGCCACTATTACTACATCCGAGCGCCTAGCTGTTAAGAGTAGGTCGGAGAGCTTTCTGTAAAACTCATCTTTTACATCATCTGAGCTGCAGTCAGTGGGAGAGTAGGAAGAGACGACGAAGAGGCAACGACGAGTGTCCCTATATTTCCGAGTCCTTACTGTTCCGTTTAGTCGGACAGCGCGCAAACGACTGTCTACTGGGATCCACTCTAAGAGAGCAAGTTCTGCCCTAGGACTCAATGCTATGCCTACGCCGGCGAGGCCACGGGAAGCAGAATCAGGGCTTCTAGATACACGAAGTGTGAATCGAGTTGGTTCTTTATTTTGGCATGGTGAGGTCAGATGAATGACGCTACTCGGATCCTGTATGCGCGTTTCGTAGACGCAGCACACATTGATGGCGCGGGATTCTAAAGTCCTAGCTAAGGAAGCCTGTTGTCCTATTTGGCACAGTGTTCGGACGTTAAAAGTTCCTACGTGTAGTTTAGAGAGTGGTTTCAGGAGACCAGGAATAGCGTTTCACGTACTCGAATCGTTTGCCCTATCGGTGCGAAGTGATAAAGAGACGTGAGGAGGCTTAGTCATGGAAACAAGAAGGGTATTAGAAGGTGTAGGAAGGATTTGAATGTGACCAACTTGGTTTCGTGTATGAGGGCTGATATCACTTCCTGGCTGCCCACACTGTAGAAGGGTATTTCTTGAGGAACCTGAAAAAGAAGTCGGATTAGTGTTGGTCTTAACGACCTGGGAGCGTGACCACAGAGCTCAAGGGACAACTGCTTGAGGCCGGTCGCGTACGGCCCTTTCGTGGAAGGTTTTTAATGTGTTAGCTCCGTTCTTTAAAGGGCCTTACCGCCGGAGACGGAAATCCGTGAGGTAAGCTGAGGTGTGACATTTTTAGGGTCGACCTTTTCTAACCCCACCCCTCCTTGTGGGAAGGCAGCATCGCTGCAGATGCTGGTTGTCCGAGGGAAACACCTTACTGCTGTCACACCCCTCTACAGTCAGCAGTACGACGTAGCCCTCAGACCTTGAGTTGCTGCTTTTAGTCTTACCGTTCTCCAATCGACCTTCCTGGCATGGTAGAACCTACAGGAACATATGTTCCAGCCAATATAGCTCGGTTGGGTCATCACGACAGGCAAGCCCGACCACCGCGTCAAGGTAGCAGCTTCGGTCGGGTTCTTCATGACCAGGGCATAAAGGCATCTTTCACGAACCCAGACTTCTCTGTCCAGCTTGGATTCAATAGCCTTTACTGATTCCGAGCACCGCAAATTTGTATCTCCTCATTTCTGTAGCCATTTGATTAGTCCTCTCGGTCTTCCACATTGTCAGCACATTCTATGTACCCATATTAATTGCTGCTCTGTTTGTTAAGAGGGGCATCAACCTCGTGACTTCCAAGGAGTCTTGGCTTTCACCATGAGGCGTTATAATTCTTCTAAATGAAGATCCTCCAACTCCAAAGGCAGAGATTAAGTGGTTAAAATTATCTCTTATGGTTAGAGTTTCTTTAGCAGGGTTATTTTCTACGGGATGGGTTTGCTAACCTTCCTCCTTTATATTGGCTTAGGACTAGTAGTAACCCTAGGAGGGTTACAGGCTAATGATAGTTCCCTAAAATTACACAGTCAACTGAAATAACTGACAATCTTAGATAGAAGGAATTAACAAGAAGTTCTAAACTTAGGTTTCGTGTTAGTCGGTAACGATCATCAAGACATATCTAAATTCTTTAGGGAATTGATAATCTGTGATAAATTAATACAATAGACAACGTTCTTAAAAAATCTTAGAAACTTATTAACATGTCATGTTAACTTACCTAAACTTTTAAATTTACGAACAAACAATGCATATAAGCAAGTGTTACACTCGACTTAGTTACGCGCTACAAATGAACTTTGTTGCTATCTACTGAGGAAATAAATTATGTAGAAAAAATAACTTTATCTGCGTAAAAGCTACAAACGTAAATTTTCGTTCAATAAGAAATCAGGAATTAATGTTTTATACTTCACAATTTGAAATTACAGTGCAGATGAACTAACACAAATTAATAAGGGTTATTAGACTAAAAATCCATTAATGTTTGGTAACAAATTAGTTATTGACTTACTAAGAGTATGTACAGAACAATCATTCATCATAATCGCACCACTAGATGTAGCCATTTTGAAATCATCGAATACTGATTTGTTTCGAGTAAACACGTAAACGGCTAAAGGTTTTTCTCTACATTGAGGAAACAAAAGAATTATACGTAAGATTCAAACGGGTGGGAATGATTAATAATGACTAAATGAAGTATGTGTTAACGACGTTGTCTATAAAGATAATGAAAGCTTAACAATTAAACCATCCAGCTAAAAGAACAGAACACCTCTGATAAAAGACAATGACTAAGCATACAAGTTATGATTTACAAAAAATTACTGTCGTTAATTCACATTTGTTGGAATTTTTAGATAACTGGATACAAGAATGGACTAATGAACGAGAATTTGTGGTGTGACGTTGTTAAGTATTTACACCAAAATACGAAGGTCTATTGAGCCAGTATTGAATAAAGGCTTTGGCTTAAGGGTGAATATAGCTCACAATTTTATACGAAAATTACTATTTAATTTATAAAATAACGAAATTGATCCGCTCTAAATACCAATTAAACCAATAAAACATAATTAAGAGTAGACTGGTGTTAAAAAGCTTAGGTGTTGAGTTATTTTTCAGTAGTTTCTCTAGAATATAATCGTCTTTATAATTGAATGGTTATCAATTTAAGATTCTGTCAGCGATACATTTTTGTGGCTTTCTGTAGGAAGTCAAACCACGCATATCGACACTCACTAATCAACCTGGATAACTGCCACTTATTCTGAGTTACGAAACCTCAAAACCGAATGCACTACTCTCTTAGACTATAAATAAATAGAAGCTATAAAAATAATCAGATTTTAAATTGCGGTTTATCGGTAAGAAATTAAAGAGATTATTAGGGGTCGAAATATTCAAAATAAGAGCGTGTATACGAGGTCAATCAATCAGAAGCGAGAAATTAATACGAACTTTGGGTTAATGAGAAATGACAGAAACTCACTAATACTTCACTTTATTAGACAACTCTGAAGTGACTTGATATATATACATATATATCAGAAAGTTGTCAAGTCAGGTGTCAGTATCAAAACTATGCATGTATATAAAATGATCTCAAAATAAATCATTCTAGACTGTTTATCGGTCAAAAATGAAACAATGATATGCAGCAATACATTATAATTACTTGGAATTAATTATCCGAATAGCTTCAGAAGGCGATTTCACAGACAACACAGGAAGTATTGGCCCAAAGATCTGATAGACAAGGAAAAACAAACCTACGAATTAAATTTTAGCTGAATATATAATAATATAAAATAACATTAACCTTCATATATTTTCAGTTTCTGATGAAATACTTGGCGTGAGAATTAAAATAACCAGCAAATATTGGTAAACAAGAACCAAGATTTCTTGGGTTAATGAATTCATTGTGGTCAAGAAAAAGCTCAAGTCGAAATTCCGTATAATACTTCTATCAAAAACCTTTCTGAATTACAATAAAATTTATGATATTATATCGAAAATTAATAACATTTTCAGTCCAATCTTCATTACAAATTCGTTAACAAATTTAATTCCTTTACATGGAAATTTTTAGCATCAAGTTAATAATACTTGTTCAAATACCTAAGAAGGATTTTCAGACACCAAAGGTTTGAACTGTACATATTCAAAATCGTGTATGAGATTCATATAGGAGAAAAAATATTCTCGTGTTTTATACTTAGGTCTTGATGAGCATTCTAATATCTTATCAGTATCGTAAATTGTGTGAGGTTAACAGGCTTTCTGTATCAATATAGAAACTTCATTAACGTTGCTACTGAAAAAACATATTGAGCTATTTTTCAACAGTACAGAAACATTACGTAAAAAAGTGGACACAACTTCGTTGAGGTTTATAAAACTCATTCACTTAACCCACTATTAAATTCACTTAGTGTTGTTTACTTGTATCTTCCCATTGTTATTTAGGACTGCAATCGATCAGTCTCTTGTTGGCATATGTGAATCCTGTGCGGACTACCTCGATATTGCCTTAAGTCACAAGCTTTTATAAGCAAAGATGGATAGTGGCTAGCAGTGGAATTCAGGAGGCACATTTCGTCCTGGCTGAGACTCGTCAACTCCGAGATGCAGGTACATCCAATCGAAGAGTCCCAAATAGGACGAAACGCGCGTCCTGGATCCCACTGCTAGCCACTATCCATTTTGCTTAATCCATTATTATTAAAATAAGAGACGATATAGACTACCTCTGGAACATTTGACACAAAAAAGGAATTCAGAACACTTCTAGGTTTCAACTAAATATCCCTTTAAGATATTTTACAGAAATAAACAAAAAAGGCACTGTCGTCAGAATATTCCGAGAATAATATTGCCCTACGAGAAGTCAATACCTATATGATAAAGCTGAACAGATATAAGGAAGAATATCTCTAAAGAACACTAATGGTTGTTGCCAGCCATTACTTACTCACTGACGCCTGTTACTCCCAACGGAGCATAGGCCACCGACCAGCATTCTCCAACCCACTCTGTTCTGGGCCTTCTTTTCTAATTCCATCAAATTCTTGTTCATCTTTTTCATGTCTATTTCCATTTCTCGGCGTAATGTGTTCTTTGGTCTTCCTCTTTTCCTTTGGCCTTGAGGATTCCATGTGAGGGCTTGTCTTGTGACACAGTTGTGTGCTTTCCTCAATGTGTGTCCTATCCAATTCCAGCGCCTCTTCCTGATTTCCTCCTCCGCTGGGATCTGGTTTGTTCTCTCCCACAGTACGTTGTTGCTAATAGTGTTCGGCCAACGGATCTGAAGTATTTTGCGTAGACAACTGTTAATAAACACCTGTATTTTCTGGATGATTGCTTTCGTAGTTCTCCAGGTTTCCGCCCCATACAGTAGAACTGTCTTGACATTTGTATTGAAAATCCTGACCTTGGTGTTGGTTGACAGTTGTTTTGAGTTCGAGATGTTCCTCAGTTGTAAATATGCTGCTCTTGCTTTGCGGACCCGCGCCTTTACATCTTCATCAGATCCCCCATGTTCATCAATGATGCTGCCCAAATATGTAAAGGTTTTTACATCTTCCAAATCTTCTCCGTAAATTGTGATTGGATCGGTGCATGCTGTGTTGTATCGGAGAATCTTGCTTTTCCCTTTGTGTATATTGAGATCTACTGCTGCTACACTGGTCGTCTTCTCCTGCATTTGTTGTTGCGTTTGGGATAGAAGGGCCAGATCATCTGCGAAGTCCAGATAGTCCAACTGCATCCTAGATGTCCATTGTATCCCGTGCTTCCCTTCAGATGTTGACGTCTTCATGATCCAGTCGATCACCAGGAGAAAGAGAAAGGGTGAGAGTAAGCAACCATGCCTAACACCGGTCTTCACTTCGAACGACTTTGTCAACTGTCCTCCATGCACGATTTTGCAGTTTAATCCATCATATGAATTCTGTATGATATTGACTATCTTCCGAGGCACGCCGTAGTGTCGAAGAAGCTTCCATAGTGTTGTCCTGTCCACGCTGTCAAATGCTTTTTCGTAGTCAATGAAGTTGATGTAGAGTGATGAATTTCATTCAATTGATTGTTCCACAATGATCCGTAGGGTTGCGATTTGGTCTGTACACGATCTATCCTTACGGAATCCTGCCTGTTCGTCACGAAGTTGGGCGTCTACGCAGTCCTTCATCCTGTTTAACAATACCCTGTTGAAGACTTTTCCCGGTATTGAGAGAAGAGTGATGCCCCTGTGGTTATCACACTTGCTGAGATCGCCTTTCTTCGGTATTTTGATCAAGAGTCCTTCTTTCCAGTCTTTTGGTACTTGATCCTCATCCCAAATCTTATTGAAGAGAATGTGGAGTATCCGTGCAGTTTCCGCTACGTCTGCTTTTAGTGCCTCTGCTGGAATGTTGTCTGGTCCTGCTGCTTTGCCACTCTTGATTTGTCTGATGACCATGCTGATTTCTTCAATTGTTGGTGGGCCAACGTTGATAGGGAGGTCCGTGGGTGCTGCTTCGATGTTGGGTGGGCTCAGTGGAGCTGGTCGATTCAAGAGTTCTTTGAAGTGTTCTACCCACCTGTTTTGTTGCTCTTCAATGTTGGTGATTACCTCGCCTTCCTTGCTTTTCACTGGTCGTTCTGGTTTGCGGCGATTTCCAGAGAGTTTCTTTGTTATGTCATACAGTTGTCTCATGTTTCCTTCTCTTGCAGCCCTTTCCGCCGTCATCGCTATATCATCCACACGTTTACGTTTGTCAGTTCTGATGCTCCTCTTCACTTGCTTGTTTACTTCTGTGTATTCAGCTTTTGTCTTGTCTTTTTCTGCACTTGTTCGGCTGGTATTGATTGCTGCTTTCTTGTTCCTTCTTTCTTGAATCTTATCCAGTTGCCAGCCATTACTTCCTGTAAATCTACCAGTTGAAACAAAGAGAAGTCCATATAATTCCAAATAAAAAAAGAAATTGTTTACAAAATGCTATTATGGCTGGGAATGTTTTATTGTTGAATATGTTTGAACAAATGTTGCTTGATGTACTATTATACACAAGATGAAAATTTTTGTCCACTACCAAGGAGGTAAATTATGCAGGAATCTATTTATTCAGATTAGGGTTATTCTGTCGATTGATTGCTGTCCAAGCTGTTCGACTTATGGTTTTTACTAGAAACACATAAGAAACCATTCTCAGTAATTGATGGACATATAAAGTGCAATGCATGCTGAATAATGTACACATGGTTTATGTTAGCTACTTTCGCATCTCAAAAAATCCAACTTGTTATTTAAGGGTTCTACATCTTTAATCCGGTAGAATTCTTGACTTAATTAGAAGAAAATATCTACAATAATACTTGCTAGCAAAGTGGAGTTATTAAAAAATGATAAATCTAACCTCATCTTGCATTAATATATCCTCTTCATCAACATCAAATACAACAGTTGGGGCAATATATTTGTCATTCACATCTGACATGCCACCGACCATAACTTTGCCTTTGGTTTGTTTCAGTAGATCTGTAAGACGCCTGACGAACGAAATTAAAATGGCTGTTTTACAAGCTAGTAATTTTATAGTATGATTAATATGCAATGACAATAACATGAACTGAGTTATTATTATGATTAATATCATGATTATTACTACCATTTAGCTCACATCACGTCCTGTATACCTTAATATTGGTCAAAAAAATAACATGAACTGCTGTATATTACTGGTAAATCCCTATATAAGCAAAACGACAGTGTGACTTCCAGCTTCTTTTACATTAACACATGTTGTAAACTTGACTAAACACTTGTTTTGTGACTAAAGGGAAACACCTGAATGCGCAGTTTAGTGTCTTTCCTTAAAGTAATCGTAAACTGATAAGATAAACAGTGAAATGAATAAAAACTTAGTTTTTCCTGTTTCCCAGAGTAGAATTATGAGTTCCACAGATTAACTCCAAAAAATGTCGAATAAAAGCGAGATTTATTTAACGAACGTTTATCACTAAATTAAACCACTTAAACATTACGTCACCTTTTTAAAGAAGTTCCAATAATTTCATATAAGCGACGGTAAATTAAATGTAAAATAGGACAAAGTTTTTCCTAAACTTCTATTCACAAACAGAAGGATGATAATTATCACCACTTCCGAAATAAAACACTACTACACTTGACAGTCACATCAATGAATTACACTCGTTTTTATTAAAAACACAGGACGATGGTAACAATGAGCGGCTCAAAAAATGAATAAAAAAATTAGTCCTTTTCCATTCAAAAAGTTGTACATATAGTCACAACTTTTGTGAAATATGCTACAAGATGTAAACAAGAGCCTTCTATTAGGTCCTACCAATGTAGGTATTATAACTTGAACATGTAAACTGATAGTAGACAAAATGTTAGTATTTGAAAAGAGTTCAACAGCTTTAAAGTTACTATGTTATGCCAAGGTCATTGCTGTATCTGGTAAAACCTCAGCAAAAATTCAGAGCCCAACTGGCTTTTGCCAACTTGCGTTACTTGTGGCGTAGGCGAAATATCCATCTACCAACCAATAAATGAGTTTACCGTGCAACAGTACATTCCGTTCTACTTTATGAGTGTGAAACATGACCAACAAGAACAGATATTTGTAGGTTACTAGTACTTGGTCACAGGCGTTTCGAAGTATTGCTCGTGTATTTTGGGATCATCGAGTAAATAATCCCGGGGTTGGGAATAGGGTACTGGGTAAAGATAGCAAGTCGATTGAAGAGGCAGCGAATCTTCATCGACTAAGGTGAGTGGGACATGAATTACGTATCCCCAACCACCGCCTACTTCGACGGGTGATGTTTGATGTGGCGGTAGGCTGAAAGAAAGCTAGGGACGGCCAAACCAAAACATGGCATTAGTCCATGAAGTCATTGACAAGTGGACTGAGCTATGCTAACAGGTGTAGACTACCTGGTTGGGATACGCGTGATAATCGTAGCCAGTCGTTGAAAACTTCGAATGACATGGCTCAAAATCGTTTACAATGGCGCAGGTGTAGTTATTTTATCTTCCCATAATTCTGAGCTTCTAAATTCCTAATAACTCTTTTTGTTTTTATCCCATTAGTTTATATTCTCTTGAATCGTATCTTCGATGCCTAATCTTTTCTTTTACCACTTATACTGTTACTATATCTACTATTCTGGGATTTGACCTGACAATCTCATCTGTGTTAATAGAGTATGACAACTTGAACCTGTATGCATACGTACCAGATTTTGAGTTGTGAGTGACTGACTGACACTGCTGTTAAATACAAGGTGTCTGTGAGACTTAGATTGTCATTACATATTGGTTAAAGAGTATAAAAAAATAAAGGAATCTGAAAAACTCACTAAACACTAACTAGTTATTGTACAATTAACTGGGTATTTAGTTTTAACATGGATATTCCTGATACTTACTGAAAATGCCTGACATTCACGATGCGTGCAAAATCAGGACTTTTTTGAGGATTATCGCCTAAAAACTGTTTTATGGTTTCTTCAATTCTCTCTTTCAGAACAGGCTAAAGGAAAAGTTAGAAAGATCAAACCAATTACTTGACTAACAGTTCATTATAACCTTCAGCAGTCAAAAAACACAATAATTCACATGAAAATATGACTTCGATCTCGTTTCGGTTTAACTGAAACTGGTACTGTGTGCTGAGACTAGCTAGCAATCCGTTTCAAACAAATATAAGAATAACCAGACAAATTGAACTCGAATAATTTGATACAATACAAAGATATTTATTGTTCAGTTTGTTCCCGAGTTAGAAAACTATGATGAGCTAGATCAGAAACATTTTAAAACTCAACATTCTGGAAACTACCCAATCACATAAGTAATTGGAAGCAATCAACAGCGTAAAAATATGAATGATTAAAATATAATTCATCAACTTAGTTACAATAAATAAGTAAATGTTGTACAAAAACACAACACTTAACAATATAATGCCCTGAATATGAGCAGGACTGAAAAGATAAACAATCATGGAGAAAAAATCACCCATTATATTTGTTTAAAGTAAGAAATATGATGCATAATACCTAGTATACAATTAGTACTATAGATAGCATGGAATCATCTCTTTGAAAAGCCATAAATTGATTTGTTAGCTGTGTATCAATGATAAAATATCTAATGGTTCATCACCACAGTGATATGCTTTGCTGACTAAATAGGCTATTATCAAGAGGTGCATTAGACTTCGCAGTACGAATGTAACCAAGAATATTAGAACGTAGGTTCATCTATCGTGATGTTAATAAACGGTTGGAATTACAACGTGTCAGTCCTAAAACTAACACTGACAATGGGGATTTTAAAGTCTAACGACGTACCAAATCACAATTGATTTTTGGAGTACATAAGCAGCCAACAACTAACATAACAAACTTACAAATCTGGAACGTCAAATAACAAATGTAAACGAATTACTGTTTGAAGAAAATGTCTGATATATGTGTTATATTCTGTCTCGCGTAACCCTTAGTACATAATCTTTGATTACCATTATGTTAGTGACAAAAAAATATTTCAAATCCAGTATATCTACTAAGTTAATCTTTTCTTTTCAGTTTATTTCCTTCAAAACAACAACAGAGTATATAATTGTTTGTTGCTGAGGTTTACTATCAGCATCTTAGCTTATGAAGCAACCCAAATCATATTCCCTTTTCAGTATATTTCACCTAAGCCATTGTGACTACACACTGTTCCTACTGAGATTTCATGTTGTTCTTTTACCACATCAATCTTGTTTCCCAGTTATTTGATTATCTTTCTCCATAAACGTTTACCTATTGTTTCAACAAGAGGCCGGGAATTCACCAAATGTTTAGTCAGAATTATATCGCTTATATTTTACAAAGTCAACATTTGTGTACATCTTCGTTCGAAATTGTGGCAAACATTCTAAGTAAAATGTAAATCTAGCTAAAAATGGATTTTGCAGCATCATAGAAAATTGGAAGGAGAATGGAAGTTTTGTTTAGGGACTGACAAGTCCCCATAACCACGAATTATTATTTTTCTAAGTGCTCACTTAAAATAATATTTCAACGCCAAATTAAATAATCATATAATTTTAATGCAATACACCAACTAACTAGTATTTCTTCGTGGCACAATAAGTAATCCGCAGCAACACATATTTGTCCACAATTCAGAAGTTTGCTGTAAATAATACGCTTGACAGCTACATCCAAACTGACATCCGAATCAATATACACAGGACTAATAGTAAAAAGAGAAGTTTTTAGGACAACTTGGTAGGAGAATTATGATACTGGCTTGGTAATAGAAATTTAGGGCGTAAAATGTTCAAATATGCAATAAAATAACCCATTATGGATCCAGTCGTTAACAAAGAACAATACTACCTAGTTTATAAAGATAATATGGAAAAAAGTACCAAACGCTTAGAATGAATAGTCGAATGAATTAGGCAGCGATATAACAACTATTACATATTATTTTAGGCTACTCTCTATCTACATCACTGGGTAGAATGTAGAAGTTACGGATCATGGAACTTTAAACTCATCAGAAGTGTTTAAATACATCAACTCTATGTTATAGAGTATTATATTATTCATTTCAAGAACGAATTTTCAACTATTAAAATAGAAGGAAAGAATGCTGATCGATAGGCAATATGCGATTGTACGAAGTGGTCGGATGATGGCTGATAACTGGACCGAATTATAAACTTAAGCTACCGAATGATTTAATATCAGAGACAAGACTACTACCCAGAAGAACAGATTTACTACCTTAAAAAAACCACTAGATCCTTTAAACAGTTGGACAAAATTTTGTAGGTCGTTCATTCCTTAATAAATTAAGACTATACCATACACTTTAAATAATACAACACTGGACCGGATGCTGAGATCTACTGGATTTTATCATATTACTATTATTATCTGTGTTAGTAAGTAATCAATAAGTCGGTGAACAAGAGATCCTCAAGTGCTCTTAAAAATAAGGGCAGTTTTCATTTCCAGTTACTCCCAATGAAAATGGTCTAAATTAATCACTAATTTGGCGGTCCCAAAAAATAAAACCGCTGCTATTAATACCATCCAAAACATTATTAGTGGTCTGAACAGTAAGTTGAAACCAAACTTATATCAACAGTACATGACCAGCTTTGTTACGCATTATCTAAAGCCCCCAAATGCCCTGGTACGGCCGAGAGTGGGGAGAGTCCGCTCTCCCTCTCGAAATGCTCTCACATGGCCACGCGTATATAGCCTCTGCCAGGGAAGTCCTACTCACTGCCTTCTCGTGGCGGGGGTGTTGTTTACGAAAATGAGAGGACGAAAAGCGAATGTCCGGCGCTTTAACCGGATTTCAAACCAATGGTGCACATAGGCTCCAGTATCCTGCGGGAACAAATGGCGTATCAACCAATTGTTGGTCACCGGCTTCCATGGGACGGCATCTCCTTACGATGCTCCACTGCCTTGTGGATCAGACCCTCAGGTCGAAGGCTCGGGGTGTGGCCCCCTAAGAAAACCACCTGCTTCGGTTTGGGCACCCGGTCAGTATCACAGCCCTCACACACATGAAATGAGATTTGTGTGGCGCATATGTATTTGGTGCCTCCTTGTCCCAATATCTATGTGTTGAAATAAATAAATAAATATGAATAAAAAATTCACAAAATCCATTCTCAACCCTCTAGTTTCAGCAATTCCTTAGAAAGTTAAGTTCACATCTTAGTATTATTCATAAGTGTGATACTGTCACCAGTGCAATAACAGTAGATACCACCAGTGTTGAAGAGATCGTTTCGTCGAAGTTATAATTTTTTCACCACTGTACGCACTAAAATGACGTCAATTACAATGACGATTTGACCAAACTAAAGTAATCACTTATAAATGCTTATGTCTTAAATTCCCTTCTTGGTGTGCATTTAGAATTCCTTCACGGTTTAACTGTAGATGACATCACAACCAAATTGCAATTATCAACTTAAATCCACACGAATGCAATGGAGGCATGTAGGTATTTCCTAGAAATGTTGTGACTAGTTTCCCGATAAGATTTGCGTAATTATCAAAGTAGATTACTCCCACCTGAGAATCGATGAGCTTAAGATACTTGAAACTTTATCAGTAAATGAGATTGCTAAGTGTGATGGTTTTTGAAGGGAGTTTTTGCACGAAGGTTGAAGCTGCAGAATCGAAGCAACTGAGTGCTTTGTTGGGTAGCAGCTAGTTGATGATCGAAACTCACACTGGACTGATTGTGTTTACTGGATATAATTGTAACTCTTAGTTAATGTGTACATAAAGGATCCTTAAATTAGGACTGTTCCTTCCTACTTGTCCGTATGCCTCATAGGAAAGCCGCTACATTAAGTAATACTTATTTCGTTTCTCACTGTTTTCTATTGGATTACATTTCACATTAGACTAAAACAAACTCTTGGTTTAAAACACCTATTGATTCTTTCTAAAGGGTGATTGAGGCTTACGATAGTAAACTGGAAGACAGTTTACTGGTTTAAAAAGTTTTTAAACACTGAGTCACTACTTTAACTCCTTTGGTTTCAACAACCGGGTAATATCACTAATCATCATTTATAGTCCCCCATTGTTCTAGAATCTGTATTGAAAGCAAGTAATAACTAGACGTTCCACAAAGTGGACTAAAACAGAGGAGAAAAACTATCGGGTTACTACTTAATTACATGAAATGGATTGAAACAGCCATAAACAACACTTCATATGCATAGTGATAGTAAAGTGCACTTTATAACCGAATAGTTTGATGTCAACAGAAAAATTCGTTGCGAAAATACATAAAAATATATCACACCGAAGTATAATTTCTTACCATTTCCCTCCAAGTTCCAAAACAACAGGAGTAAGTTTTTTCGCAGCGGCAACGTAAACTTCGCGACCAATGGTTGTACCACCCGTGTAAAATATGAGGTCAAAACGCTGAGTTTCCAGAAGCATCTTAGATACACTACCATCTCCACAAATGACTTGACATATGTGCTTTAAAAAATGTTTTTTTAGCAAATATGGACAATAGCCACTAGCAAAATTGGTTTTACTCAGATACATCTCAGAAAAATAAGTTATAACTATAGCTATTTTTAAGCGTTTTTTGTGATTTGTACATATTATTTCAAGACATTCTGACTACTACCTTGATATTAGTGCGTAACTTATAGTCGGAAAACGATCCAACGTGAATAAATAGAACTAACAGATCGCCATGACTAGCTTCCATTTCAATTGGGGCCCCCAAATGCCCCAGTACGGCCGCGAGTGGGGAGCCAGCTCTTCCTCTTGAAATGTTCTCACATGGCTACGCGTATACAACCACTGCCAGGGAAGTCCTACTCACTGCCTTCTCGTGAGGGGGGTGTTGTTTACGAAACTGAGAGGACGAAAAGCGAATGTCTGGCGCTTTAATCGGGTTAGTGGGTATGGAGAGTCCACCTAGGGGAATTGAAAAACCCTGATTCCAAACCAATGATGCCTATGGGCTCCAGGATTCAAAGAGAACAAGTGGTGTTGATCACCGACTACCATGGGACTGCATCTCCTTATGTTGTCCTCACTGTCTTGTGGATTAATCCTGTAGGTCAAAGGCTCGGGGAGTGGACCCTGAAGGAAACTATCTGCTTTGTTTTGGGCTCCCGGGAAGTATATCAGACCTAGTACAAATCGAATAATATGTAGGGCGGATATATATATTTGGTGCTACCTTGTACCAATGTTTATAGACTATGGGGTTCATTCGTTTCTCGAAACGTACCAGTAGCTTCTGATAGATGAGTTCGAGTAAGAGAAGCGACTACAAGTTTACCACATGACAATGAAACCTTGTGATAATAAACAACAGTTGATATGCAAACACCCAAATTCATATTATTTAAATGAGTTGCCTTTTTTAAAAATGACATTTTAGTCAAGCATATAATCAAACTATTGGTAGAGAATCGCGAGTCATAATATTCTCCAGAGCAGTTTATATTACACACGCTTCGAAAAGACATTTCGATAAATATGAAAATCTGCGAATTTCTGTTGTTGTCAGTTACTATTAAGACAATCGGTCAGTCAGTCAGCTAAAACGTAGAACCAGGCACATATATTCATCGGTCCAAGTTGCCATATCTCATTAGCACAACAAGATGAATACCGAATTCATAAAGTAGTTACTTCAATGGTAGTAATATATAAAAGAAAGATTGCATATAAGGATATAGTACAGGGAGAAAGGATTAGTTCGTAGAAAGAAAGATATAAAGCAATTTTAACCTCATAGTTTAAGGGAAGACAGAGAGTGCATACACCTACGCCATTGTGACCGATTCTGAGCCATGTCACCCAGAGTCTCCAATCATTGGTTACGATAGTCACGCGGACCCCAACCAAGTAGTCTGCATCTACCAACATGGCTAAGACTAGAAGTTAGTGACTTCAAGCACTGGTGTCACGTTTTGGTTTGACCGTCCCTAACTTTCTTTCAACCATCCCCGACACTAGTCAGCATTACGCGTGGTGGTAGTCGGTGTTCAGGCATACGTAACACGTGGCCCAACCATCTCAGTCTATGAGGATTTACAACCTCATCAACTGATTTACCATCATTCCTTAATACCCTGCATGTAACCCCACCATTACTTACCCGGTGATCCCAACAGATGCGAGCAATATCTCTAAGACAACTGTGATCGAATTCTAGTAACTTACGAGTATTCTTAACGGCCAAGTTTCCCAGCCATGAATTATATTCATCTTTTAATTGACCGATGGAGATCTCGCCTTCTCCATAGATGACGTAAGTTGGCAAAAGCCAAACGATTCCATGCAGAGATTTCGTCAGACATCAACCCATTAGGGTTGATCAGACTTCAAAGATAAGTGAAGTTGTCGATGCGTTTAACTACTTCACTCCCTATCCTTAGTTCAGGTATTGACACAGGCCAGTCCTGAAGCAACAACGTGCATTTAGAGGGGGAGAAGCGCATCCCAAACATCCTGGCATTGTTGCTCAGTCCTACCAAAAGACTCTGCATTTTATCAGCGTCTTTACCAAACACAACTATTTCATCTGCGTATTCTAAGTCGATAAGTGGACCTCCCGGTAGGAGATCAATGCCTGAAAATTCAATCGACGAGAGCGTTATTTCCATCAATAGGTCTATGATGAAGTCAAATAAAAATTGAGAAAGTGGACAGCCCTGCCGGACACCATTTGAGGCTGCAAAATCAGATGACAGTTCGTCATAAGCTCTGAATCGACTATTGGTGTTCGAGTAACGAGCCTTCATAAGGTTTATGTACTTCTGAGGTACACCTTTCAATGACAGACACTGCCACAGGACCTCTCGGTCTACAGAGTCAAATGCTGCTTTTAGGTCAAGAAACACTATAGTTGTTGGATGCCGATAAGTATGCCTGTGTTCTAAAACCTGGCGAATAGTGAATATATGGTCGATGCAGCCACAACCAGGTCTGAAGCCAGCCTGATTTCCTCGTGTTTGCAATTTACGAGTCTTAGTTAGGCGTCCGATAATTATTGAGGCTAGTATTTTAGATGCTATGTTAATCAAACTAATCCCTCTATGGCTATCACAGGATGATTTTGACCCCTTTTTATATATTGGGACAATCAGTGATTGTGACCAATCAGATGGGATTACGTCCAACTCCCAGATTTTAGCTAAAATATTAGTCAACCTAATCGCTAAAATTGGACCATCATCCTTAAAGACCTCTGGAGCCAATCCATCTGGACCAGCTGCTCTTCCTCGTTTCAAATTATCTATAGCCTTTTGAACTTCAACTATAGTCGGGGGACCTACTTCAATGTTCCATTCAGGCTGTCTGGAAATGGTGGGTAGTTGTAGAGTAGCTGGAGGCCAGCTGAACTGCTCCTTAAAATGTTCCGCCCATCGTTCTAAACGTCTGGACTGGGAGCAGATAAGAGTGTCGTCTTTTTCCAAGATAGTCTCACTTACACTTGACTTATTAATCTTAGTTTATTTTATCAGTCTGTAGAGCTGTCTTGTATTACCTACAGCCGCCACCTTTTCCATCTCTATTTGCTTTCGTTGCCCACCATCGTTGACGGTCGTTCCTTAGACTGTTGGTTAAACAAGATCTGATCTGCTTTCGCTCTTCATCGTGTTCAGAGCCTGATGGGATGAGTTTACGAGAATCCATTAGTGCAATAGACTTAGAAGAAATCGATTGGTGTTTTGTAACCCTTTGATTTAAATCACTGATAGATGTCACTGCTGTTTGTATATCTCTCCAAGCAACATCTGGGTCAGCCTCGTTTTCAAAACTACCTAAGTGTGACCTCAGTTGTTCCTGGAATCTACTTTCTGCTTTCTTGTCACTCTGTTCAATTCTAATGGGTCTTCTTAATGTGGATTTTCTGCGTCCAGTGAGGCTGAAACAAATGCGTGCTCGTATTAGAGCATTATCAGAGTCCAATCAGGTATTCCAGAACGAGCGTGAGTCTTCTATTGAGCCTGTACAACGATGACTGATGGCAATATGGTTCACCACGTCAAGGTAGCGGCAACGGTTTGGACTATTAAGATACTAACTACTATTAAACTAGTTTCACAAAACAGAACTATGCTTTCTTCGTGGATATAGGGACTGTGATTTCATTACTAGGACACACAAGAGTTGTTGAAAGCATTACAGACTAAGAATATTACTTGAAGGTTATTTATATTGATTTCTGAAAAACGTGTTGACGTTTATTAAGTTGTGGAAAGTATATCAAGTAGTGGTTACATAGAAATGTCACCATTATAAACTGAAAACGATGTTAGATAGGGTCATCAGTTTTATTTTTTCTACTCAACTTCGCCATTGAAAGCATTCTGTCTACGGGACGTTGGACGAAAATTTCAAAGGTGCAGTCTCGCTTTACAATTGATGCTTTAAAAAAGTGGAGAGCATATACTTTACACCAGTTTCAGTCACCCAAACTAAACCATAATAAACCAGAAATTTGCGATATTATTAGACATAACTTGGAATAATCTAAATCTACATCATACAATAGTTCCTACGTGTATTTTTCTTGAACAATAAGCAGTGAAAACCTATATGGCTTATACTTATGGACTTGGCAACTAGTCAATCGTTAATCATGGACAGTGAAGGATTAGGCACAAATCTGTACCCAATAATGAAAATTCGTATTCGTTCTTTTTACTAAGTTTGCATCTGTTTGAAGTGTCACACTTTACCCCCTTCATATTTTCTAGGAATTTAATACTTTCATTTTAGAATGTCAGGTCAAAGTAATAGAAACTAAGTGTAGAAAAATTCTTACTTTTTTCAATCCATGGAAATCTTGTTTAATTTTACCAACAACTTACTTTATCTAAATACTTAGGGATAAGCTCAGCAATCAGCTGAGAACACGCTGGAGTCATTTCTGACGGCTTAAGAAGAACACTATTCCCAGCAGCGATTGCACCAACTAGAGGCTGAAATGATAAAATGAAGGGAAAGTTCCAAGGGCTTATTATTAAAACCACACCGTATGGCTGTTTTTGAATAGTTACTGTATCCATTAACGTGATGAATGACGATGGAACCTGGATAATTAATTACCCTTATAACATTCGATACATTACCGGATCCTCTTTCAACCATGAATCCATATTAGAGAGCATTGTTTTCGCTTCACCTACTGAAGGGTCTATATCCGTGAAGATAGATTCAGTTCGACACTATTTAATGATGCTATATCAAAGTCTTTTACCCTGCGAAGATCTTTCTCTAGTGCTTTGACAATGTCTTCCTCGTTTTCCAGGAGCAACTTTAGAACATTTCGAATGGCACATTTACGTGATTCTAAGGTGTTTAAAACGCCTTCAGTGATTCCTTTGCGTAAAACAGACACGATCTACATAGTTAAAAGATAAGTGAACAACAAACTTTTTCAATATCTTTCGACATTTGATGAGAACAAAAATAACTAAGCCTGATATACTTAAGACGTCTGAGTTGGTTGACTCCAGTCCAGTCTAGATGGTTGATGGAACTAATTGAAGGCAACGCTCCTAGAGTATCGTCCACTGTGGGGGTTGCGAGCACCTGAAGGTCAAACTGTCGCAAAATGATTGGTGCGTCACATCGACAATTCGTGAAAATTTTCAGAAGCGGTCAAATCAAGACATTTTCAGATATGAATTGAGTTCAGCCACACTATGTCTGATAACGTTCATTCTTCAAATAACGAAAACGATTCCATCGTGATGATGCATGATATAGAACGAATCTTCAATGATATTATGTTATCTCGAAGATTTACAAGTTGGAACAATTTTGAGACCTGTTTGAAAGAAGTACATAAGGTAATATGACCTCTGTGGTTAATAATTATTTTTTTAGTGTACGCATACTAAGTACGTTACGTCAGTATGCAAAAAGAACAGTGATGATCCAACTCTAAAGTACTTTTTCGTGAGATATGCCTGTACATATGGACGTAAACGCAGTTCGTCAGAGTCAGATGCTCGCGTTCAGGATGTAGATAATGATAGTAATAATCATTCGTCTAAAGAGCACACAACTTCTAACTCGCCAACACAACCTAGGCAAAGGAGACGACGCCGGCCATCTACGTATGCCTTACTTCAAATGAATTTATCCTTCAGGTCGAAATATTGCCATTGTCAATCTGGATTTTGGGTCCGGGCAGTAAATGGTGAGTTGAAACTCACCTCTATTAAAACCGTGCACAACCATCCTTGCACAGAAGGATATATTTCTGTCGATCCACCGAAACGACAGTTGACCTCAAGTGAACGCTTGTATTTAAGAACGTTTCTATTGAGTAATACACCAACTCGTAGCTTACGGTATCTGGTTTCTTTGAAGTTCCGTAAACAGCTTACCAAGGACGATATCGCCAGAATGCGTTCACAGTTGTACCCAGGTTGTTGAACTCACATTGTAATTAATTGAGTTTAGACACTAAAAATATAAATGACATTTTACAGCGCATTCAAGCAAATACTGAAGTTAAAGTATTCAATGAAAATGGGAACATGTCTATGATTTGCTTCAGCCGCAGAGAGCAAATAGCTGTTTACCACGCGTTCCCGGAGGTAATATGTATTGATTCGACTTATCAGACCAATAAAGCCGGGTAAGTGACGATTAGTAATAAATTTATCTGAAAGTTTTCCACTGTTCCAGCTAGTGGTGACTGATAGCCTTGGGCAAGGGCACACTGTTATGTATGCTCTTTGCAGTCAAGAATGACGCAAAGATGTCGAAAAACTATTGGAATGTTTTAAAGAGATAATGTGCGGTACTTATGCTACACGCACTTTCATTATGGATTCGGCAGCGACCGAAATTTCGGCTGTGCAGTTTACGCACAGTCATTCTAACATAATACTTTGTTCATTCCATGTCCTAAGAGTGTTTTTCAGGAAGGTATGTGTTAGCTGTACAAATTATTTTCTGTAGTTCCGAAATCCTGATGTGCGCAAAATCTTGGAACACCTTGTGAAGACTAGACGGTCTGATATGTGAGCTTCGCTTTTCATAGGCCATTATATTCAGATTTACTCGAAAGTACGAACATCTAAGGACGCACTTCTTACGGGCGTATGATTACATAAAAGATTACTGGATTGCCACGAAGTCAATGTGGGCTCGCTGTTACCGGCGACATGTATTAAGCCTGGGCAACCACACAAACAACCGTGTCGAAAGTGCTCAGAAGAGGTGATTCCCTGCTATTGACGTTCTGGAAAATTTGGAGTAAAACAGACATTGACCTACGTTTGCGTCCTTATGACTCTGTGAAGAAGCTTCAACGTTTTCCAATTCTTCAGGTAAGAAATATAGTTAAATGTATCATTAATTCCAGGTTCCAATGTCATTTCGAACTCTTCTAAACGAGTTCACATCTTTTGCAGCTAAAATTGTAGCTGTAAATTATAAACGTGTTCGGACAATGAGACACGAATTTATAGAAGGAGAATACATCCGGTGCTACGACAAGGGTATGATGTATGTCGTTGATACTTCACGTGCACGATGTGCTTGTGAGCGTTTCAGTGACTACATGCTGCCCTGTGGTCATATTTTGTATGCACATTCTAAAGATCTGATTCGTGGAGGTATGTGTGTTCCTATCTCTATAAGTTTTGTAGACTTATTTCGACATAGCAACCGGTGGACAAGAAAATACATCATGGACCTGGTTCTTCGTGCGCTGGACAACATCTCAATCTCTACAGGGAGTGATGATCTGCTAGAGAAGTTCACTAGCAACTACCACTCAATCCATGCGCTTAGTGAACCTTTGGCAAGTAAACTCATCCATTCATGCCTCCAAGCATCGGAAGACATATGCGCACAATTGATGAGTTCAGTCGGTGCTAATGATGAAGCTACAACGTCAGAATCCATTGTTAATACAGACCATAGCTATGCTTCTTGCTAACAAGAAGTTCTAATATTGTAATCTTTTTAGTTTTACATAAATTCATTTATATGGCCATGACTTATTCTTATAGCGTAACGGCAGGGAGTGTACTGTGCAGTCTTATGTGGCTGTGAGACAGGGATGTTGTTTCGCGTTCTCGTGTAATAATTACCAGTTTGGCGCACACGCGATTAGTCATACTTACCGTTTACCAAATACTGCTACCTTGAACATGATGTACCATACTAGTAGTTCGAATTTCGACCTGTCACGATAGATAAGAATTGCCGTAATTAAGAGACTGGTGCGTTATAAATGAAAACGTTTATTGAAGTTTGAATCCAGCACAAATGATCCATTAATAAATAACTTCTATTTCTCACGAATTGTTCCCGTTAGGTCTGTGAACACTTGCGAAGCTAGCTGGAAATAAGATAGGAAAGTTATTTGAGTATAAATGTTTACCAGAAACTAGTATAAAAACGGAAACCAGTATTCAATTACAGATCGGAAGTGCATTTAGCACACCCTTCCTTCGGGTAGTCAATCACGCTTATTTCCTTCATCTCTTGCGTTGCTTAGGAATGTCTGGTTCACAGCATACACGGATTGTATTATTTAATTCTTTGAGCATGATGCACTTCGGAAACTTAGATGATGAACATCTATAAAGACTACTGTGTGAATTTACTGTGAATCGTCCTATGTAACCTGCAATTATTGATGCATATTCTATTGTAGTCCCACGTAAGTTATGAGTAATCGTCATTAACGGCATCAGCACGTAAGCTAGACAGGCCTTGGTTGATTTCCGAAGATCATCACATAGGATCTCACACAATCTGGTCACCTTAGATCAAGATATCTTGACTATCGAATCGTAATTTTCAGTGCTTTCTCGTGACAGCTTTATATCAGTACTTATTTCTGATATTAGGTATTTTTGCAATAATACCGGCAGCCAAAACATTGAAGCTCCCCAGACAACCCAAAAAGAGAAAATAAAGGGGTAAACGCTTTGGTAGCGAAAGGGGAAAACGCATCACAATGTCGCTTTTTTCGCCTGTCCGGGGGAAATAATGTGGATTTCCCCTTGTTTCGCCGTTTTGTCGATAAATTACTCACTTTTCGCATAAATATCTGCTAAATTACCGAATTTTTGCCTAAATGTCCACTGAATTGTTTACTTTTCGCCTAAATGCACAAAGAACTCCCTGTTTTTCAATCAATTAACATAACCCCAAAGGTCTCCTATGTTCGCCTTTATTTTCAACAACAGACCAAAATAAATCTGCAAAACAGTGGAAAACCGGCATATTTTTGAAAATTTTATTTAAAAGGTAAAGCGTATTATTGTACAACACGCGAGCAGAAGCTTAAGCATCGATTGTTTTGCATATCCAATGCAACTGCTAATTCATTGTTATGTGAAACTATCTGCAGGAGAAGAAACACGTGATGTATTATTTATAAGGAATGTCCATTTATTCAATAGTTCACTGACACTCAAACACACATTCTCAACACTTCTACAGCTTCCCATCTAAGTAAAAAAGTAAGCTGTTTGAAAAATAATATTTATTGAAATGTAAGTATAACATCAAAACAATTGCACTGCTATTGAGAATTAAGGTAGTCGTCCCGTGAATTCTGAATTTAAAAAAAAGAAAAAAGTTACAACCATGTCTCAATGACATGCTTTGATACAGTTAAATACATGTGTACATCTACACAAGAGGTAGTAATACTATCTTAGCTTGGTCTCTGGTAAAACCTACCTCTACCGCATGATTATGATTTATTTCCTGCAATACAATCATCTGGTGGCTAATATATCTAACTGTAGGAGGCAATATTAACATCTTGGTATGTTTTATTATCATCTATAACATATACATAATATTTACAACACTCAGGACACTTAATGTTTTCACTATGAAGCTATTTCTGCCATAAATGTTGAACAAAACAGTGAAAATCAGCAGAAATTGTGATAAAGATGGGAAAAACGATAAATCTTAACATGGTATCGTTAGTTGTAACGCAGTTTTGGTAGCCTTGACGACAATACAATTTTTATGACGACATACGCCTAAATCTTGCTATTTCATATAAAAATAAAAGATTTGCCTACCATCAGTGTATACCTAACTAGAAACAATTGCTAATCTGCGATGCAAACACCGAAAAACTATTATAGCAGCACCTGATTAATGAATTTTCAAGGACTTCGCGATACCATGTAACGCAAAATGGAAAAACCCTTTTTACCTAATTATGAAAACGGAAAATAGATTTTCAAATTTATTCATAATGTATTTCAAAATTTAATTGTGCACAAAGCAGAAATAAAGAAGTAGCGCAAAAAAGTGTCGCGATACCCCTGCAGCGCTGCTCGCAATTGAAATTACCTCCTTGTTGTTTCCGCGACCCTGTCCAAAGGCAGTCATTTCACATTTGTCACCAGCCTTTATATTTTGAGAGTCTGAGGTCTGTGGCATGTTTGTAGGCTAGCTTGACATAACAGTATATGCATTTATAGGAGACCTCTATACTTCAGAAAAGGATGAATGACATATAGCTATCTGTATCTTCAAATGGTTCAAAGGTTGTGACTGAATTGAAGAAGATTTCACTTAACGGGCTTCCATGACTAGTGACAGTGAATCACTAATATCCTCAGGCAGGAACCTAGGTATATTAACGATAATATACTTCGATAATGTTTCGTCTACTGTTCAGCCAAAGAAAACCTCTGATCTACGCTTTTTAACTGTTGACCTATGCCTAACGGTGTTTGAGTTTGTATATTTCATCATTTCACAAAACCAATGATTTTCTCTCTATTTATCTGATAGTTACACTGAGTATATCGGCCAACCTAACCTATACTTCTCGGGAGACAATCCTATAGCGGCAAATCCAACCCTAATATCAATAACTGCAAGTCTTCGACATTTGACGCTGACCGCACTTGTTTTAATGAACTCACTTGGCTGAAGGCACTCATTCACGCATCCGCACCAAATCTCGAGTGGGTACGCAGTGCTTCACACCTCCTACGACCACTAACCGGTTTAGATTGATCACATCTCGATACATCGATAGCCTATCAAATATATCTGCAAACCTCTTCGCATTTGAATTTTAATTTGACTGGGTCGGAACATTTCTATCATAAGAGGTGTTACTGGTTAAAGCGTTTTCAAACTCCAATCACTTGTGGCATTTTTATTGGTGAACCCGATATGATTTGGTACACCAATTTGTAAACTGTGAGTCTGTTCCTTTTTGGAAATTTATAAGTAATATTTTTACTTTAATTTTAACATACTGTGATCTTTTTAGTATTTCTAGATATTCCTTTCTCGTTCATTGCTATCCTTTATATTATGACCGGACAATCTTCTAAGTTACTTAAGATCAAGACTCTTTCGCCGCCCTCATTTCAACTAATACCATTTTAGACCGATAGCATCAAGGCATGATCCTGCTACTCAAAAGCTGACTTCCACATGCACAGTTCCTCGCAGTAGTGAAGGCATTATGTCACACCTAGTATGTTCACTAATGATGTTTCGGAACCTTATGAAATTCTAAAAATGTATATTCCTAGACACGGAGTTCTAACCGACTTGCAAAGCTTAGATCAACTTTTCAATAACATCGATCTACAACATAGCTCAGCAACAGACATGTTACGAATAAGAGGGGTCACTGGCCAATGGACCTTCGACGAGGGCCTGTTTAAACTACATTTCTTATTTAAGCTTCCACAACAGGTGAAGGTAGTGCTCATCTCATTTTAAACAACGCTGTGAACAAACTGGCCGCATCTCTCGACCGAATTCTCTAGATCACCAGAACTTTGAACGCCGAGGTGCACTCAATCAAAGAAAAACCTCAAAAAGCACAAACTGACGTAACGGAACACTATCATACTCTGACACCCCACCTTGGTATTCGTCATGAACGTAGGCACTCCGAAACTCCTCGAAGGGGTACTTTACGAAAACAATCTGTCCCTAGATCACGAGAGACAGGTAACTGTAGTTGGTGCTGGTATCATAATCAACACAGAAAACCTCGAAATTGAAGAAAACCCTGAAGTTTCCCGATCTCCAAACCGACCTGCACGCGCTCATGGCAACCGTGGCCGGCGAACATAGCCATCTGTTATGCATTACTGATGCGACTATGAATGCTCGCTACCTCTTCGACACCGGCGTCACATATAATAGTGGTTGATGTTTTAAAAAACCGGGATCTCAGACTACAAGGAGGTGATAGTATTTTATCGCCAGTGGATGGTGACTACGACATAGCTCAAGTGTTCTAGGATTTCTTTAGCGTTGTCAACACCATAGAGACCCCCTTATCTTAAACAAAAGCTGGTCCCTTTATCTTTACTGGACATTTCGATTGTTAGGGTGATTGATGTCTTTGGTGTGTCACACAGACTGAGTGTTCGAAAACCTATGTTATGCAACGGCAGACGGATGAGGTTACTGAAAGGAATCCCAGATTTTATCACACATTCTCTAGGTATTTTTTAATCTAATGATGATCGAAAGTAGACTACGAAGTTATGGCTTAATGTCAGGTACGAGACATAATGTTGAAAACGATTGTCTCGTAAGCTGAATTAGAGAAGCTGTTAATATTCTAGAAAAGTTATTCGCAAGTGATTTGTTTATCTAGATTAAGACCTGATTTTTTTAAGAGCAACACGATTTAGGAACAGGTTATTTGAGTTTCGAAACTTTATCGGTGATTCCGGAAATCTAGCGTACTCTTGAAGACCAAAAGCTACTTGTCATTGTAGCTTTATTCATCTCGCGTAAGAGTTTGATTCAGTCATACATAACAGAGTGTTATTTTAAGTTACGTAACACTGAGATAAGTGGTAACCTATTTAGGTGGATAAATGATCTAATTGGATGTCAACAAAGAGCAAATGTCAACTGCAAGCAGTTTGACCAAAAAAATGTGTCACGCTGTATATTTTGAGGACCACTGTTATCCCTCTGACACGTAAATGACCTTTCTAGCCCCCTATTGTCGTTGGTATTG